CCGCCACAACATATCAAAATTAAGAAAAAGCAAAGAAATACGGAGAAAAACAGCTGCTGAACGCCACAGGATATCAACCCACCCCAATGTCAACTTCACTGTCGTAATCAATCCAGGCAACGGGCCAGGGCCTGACTCTCTCCCGGATGGCAATTACACCCGTGAGATTCCAAAGCTCACGGCTTACGACAATGTTCGTGTTTTGGGCTATGTGTATACCTCATACGGAAAGCGAAACGTTTCTGCTATTCGCAAGGATATCCAGACCTATGCCGACTGGCCGACTAATTCCTCCAATCCCAACCTTGCGGTCCGCGGAATCTTCTTCGATGAAACCCCTCAGCAATACGATGCTCAAACCTTGACGTATCTGCAAGGGCTGACGGACTTTGTTAAGAACCTCGAGGCTCTTGGTCCTGACCAATTTGTGAGTTCTGCAATTCTTCCGAAACTGTGTTTTAACTTGACACCTTATTCACTGCTCTATACCATACGTCCCCTGTCTCGCATCATCTTGGACTTATGTTTTTGTCTTTTTATTTCCCTCGGTTTATTACTCCCATCATACTATGGCTTTATTGACTTTACCCATCACCCCATATTCCACCCCAGCCTGCATCACAATGGTTTCCCTTTCTGGGCTACATAGCCGAAGTCCATCCAGCTAACCAAAACAACTAGGTTGTCCACAATCCCGGCGCTATCCCCGATTCTCGGTACCTGGCAACAGCTGATTCAACCGTTGTGTTCGAAGCTGCCTACAGTACTTTCCAGGAAAGGGAAGGGGGTAAGCTGTTCAGCAATATCGCCGACAGCAATCGTACCCAACTTTGCGCCATTGTCCATTCCGTGCCTGACTCTGTCAATGGCAAGCACCTTCGCGGTCTGGTCAAGCAGGTGCGCAAGGTCGCGGAAGAGGTGTACATCACCCATCTCAGCACAGACTATTATTCCTCCTTTGGGGGCAAGTGGACTGAGTTTGTCGATCTGATGGCAGCTTAGATATTGGATTGCTGTTTTAGATTACTTGCTTTTGTATGATGTGCACGGTAAATTGGGTCAAGCGAGTATGTGCACATATTCTTTTTGTTAGCTAGAATGTTTTCACCCATTAGGTTTAATGGATTCTACGTGTTGATTTTCGGACTAAGTTTTTGTCTATCCAAATTTTCATTATTTGCGCCATAGACTAGAATGAAAAATTTTCTCTTTCGCCTTCCATCCTTTCAATGCACCCTCGCAAGCCGTCTTTGTTACAGGTGAGCTATACTTTTTAGGTCAAGGTGGAGACCACGGGTGGAGAATACGTGCATGTGTATTGCAGTAATTTTCATTGTATTTTTGCATGCCAAGGATAAAATACCCTAATACACACCACTAAACCCCAGCCACTAATGCAGTATTTGTAAATTGGAATATGTGGCAAAGCGATTGGATCGCTGAATACGAGGTATAAGCTAAACGTGGCTCACGCTGATCTGGCTTGATTCGACCTCAGTCTTGACGATACAGAGATGCCCAACACCTTCCTTTCCTGGATCCCGATCTAGACTGTCGTTCTTTGCAATATCTCCGGGTTACGATCCGATCGATCTATGAGACCCGCAGGTAGCGTCCTGTAGGTCCACAGCCAATGCCCCATTGTAAGGCTCGGAGATACTCCAAAAATAGCCCTGCAAGATCGGCTCTCAACTATCTTGGCAGGGCATACATCCAGCCACAGTTTCAATCAGCAATGGATATCACCGTTTACGTGAGATTCAGATATAAACAACTCGAACATCTTGAGACAAAGACTAAGTTATAATACAAGCCAATTTCTCAGCTAAACTATATTTCAAGTTTCAGATAGTGAGAAGTGACCAAAGACTGAAACAGCAGCGCGGGACATGACCAAGACAACAGACTTCGGATATTAACATTCCCTATCGACGTATGTCATCAATATACATTAAGTCCAAACTCAGTTTCCCGCGATACAACGCTGCGTTGGAACAGGAACAAGATACGAAGTAGTACTCCGTCTGCATGTAGGTTCAACGTGGCGCAACTGCGGCTACTCCTGTTACAAACCCGTCCCGTCCCATTCCAACGTCATATTCCAGGAACCAGGCCAGTGTGGGATGTTTTCACGCTGAGACCTGACGCACAGCTGTCAATTTCAATGAATCTTCACCGGTCCCCGGTCCCCGATCCCAAAATACCACAACCTCCTGTAATACTTATCCTCTATTTGGAGCTGATTTTGCATGAATCTTCCGCCTCGCGAGAACCAGGTTCTTCCTTGTTCGCTCGCTGCAAGATACAGTTTGGGGAAAACCATCGTACCCACCTCACCCTTGTTGTTCAGCTTATGCATCATATCTGTAACTTCGGTCGTGCCCCTGAAACTGACCGCCGGTGGCGGAAGCCACTACCTCGTGGCATGACCGGGTATTTCGGCAGGAAAGGATTTTCCATATGTCTCTTGGCTGCAGTGCCTCTGGTAGCCGCCGGGGAGAACTGGACTAATACAGCAAGAATATCGCTCATCATTTCTGTCATGCATCGCAGATGCGACCCCATAGGAGCTTGGACTACAATACATAATAAGATTTGACTATTTACAGACCGAACTTGGTCGATCGCTGGGCCCTAACAACGTAATTGCCAAAGATCAGCGTTTGGGGAAAACTCAGCGCCGGGGTGGGTTTTGCTGCGGCACGATCAGCTATTAGCATGCATGGGTGGATACGTCTGAATCCCAACAAATGTTGAACCGTTCTCTGCGCGTGCATCCATGTTTGAAGTTCAGTTCGCATGATGTTCACCATGCAGCCATTAATTCAAATCAGGCGTTCCAAATCGAGGTTCACGCCCGTTTTGGTCAACCATGGTTTGGAGACGGCCCAATCTTGTAAGGTTCTCGCTTAGTATGACCATCATCAGACGGGTCACTATTCTAATCGACCCACAATCCTCCCGCTTCGGGTTTGAGTTTTCCTCATAGCAAATCTGGGTCATGGTGCAGAGATTTGTATCAGTGGAGTGAACATTAATCCAAACAAGTGGAGGGAAAACATTCATACTTAGCCGCTTAGGGACAGGGGTAGATCCGCCTGGGAGAGCCACTCGGGTAACCGATCTTAGCGCCCTTCTATCCCTTGGATGCTCGATTTTCGGACCACGAGAAGCGGGCAGCTTCCAAGGCTCACTTGTTCTTGGTAGGTGGGTATATCACACGTGGGTACGGGGTTGTACGCGAAAGCAGAGAAGTAAAGGAAAAAGGTCTAGACCGAAAATTCTCCCGCGGTGCTACTGGCCATTCTAGTCGGAAACGAGCATCGGGACATAAAGTCCTCCCGTGTTCACCGGTCTTTGTACCGAGATCAGTTGTGAGACATGTACAATTTTTTTTCATGTATGAAACGAAGTCAAACTATGGATGTTGGGAATAAAAGAGCCTCTACGGAGTAGACTCCGAACCATCCGGGGTTTTTCTCACAGTGGTATGAAGTATAGCACAATGTCGTAAAAATAGTACATCATACCTCTCGGCAAGTAACACACAACGTGTGACTTCAGTTTCCAGCCACAGAGGTTATGCAAGGAGATCCCATTTAAGATTTGTGATATATCCGTTACGATGGGAAATATACAGTACTCCAGGTCTGCAATTACTTCGGTACCTGACAGATGATACATAGATTACAGGTAAATTACAGCATGATCTGTCCGTATGTAATAAAAACTTGCAAAAATACCTCAACAACCTTGATCAACCAAAGTTACCGGATGACCCACTTCCCCATAGGCCCGAAACGAACTTAACCGAATATTGGAGGAAATCTCGAACCTAACCAATCAGACCAGTAAACACCTTCGATCCGCTCCAATGCATCAACATGCCAAGACCGCCAAGACCAGCAAAACATCCTCTGTCACGACCAAGTTCCCTTTAGGAAAATTCCATGCCCGCTCATTGCGCTAGAATTTCACATTTGTTTCATTGACACCAATCGGGCAATGGGAGCGGCCTGGTAATTGCTTTGTTCCACCCCAAAGCTAGAACAAATAAGTAGTCTATAATTATATCACGGTGGCGAAACATAGGAGAAAATGGACAAGGATTAAGTACTGTTACCTAAAGCCTGCATATTCGGTTGGAGATGTATCCGGGTCTTTCAAACTTTAGCGACCCACCCCGTAGGCGATGCATGATACCTGCAAGTACGGAGTAGAAAGAGAAGAAAAAACAGCTAATGCCGGATGGTTGATCCGGCACAAAAGCCGGGCCTTTCTACACTAGCCTCGCCCAACTCCTCCATCACACCATGCCACGGACAACCCGGGCACACGGAGGACTCGGAGAATTGGACATATTCCCACTAGCGGCAGGAGTCACATCCACTAGCACCTGTAGTTTATGCACAAAAACCCGCTAAAAGAAGAGAATTTTGTGCCGACGATGGCGCTGGTCGTGGCTGTTCTGTGATGAGCTCACTCTCTGCGCTAGCATTGGTGCTAGTGCTATGCAGCACCCAGTGCCAGTGCGAACTTATGACATGTGCGCTTGAAATGAGGTGCTTCGTTAAAGTGGGCGAGCGTAAGCTGAGTCCAACGCATACACTGGAAAGGAAGGTATCAGGCGATTGTTGCAGTTAACGCTAGCAGTGTGCAACTCAGGCAGAAAGTGGCGATTATGTGCTCGTATTGGGCTTAATGCAATGGTTGTGATGTGTTCTCACCAAGGCGCTTTTGCTTTCGCTTCTTTGGGCGTGGGAGTTGTTTTACCGGCGCCCTGCGTCTTGTAGCTGTCTATTGAAGGCAACGTGAGCCGAAGTGTTATTTTTGCTTTTCTCAGCTTCTGGGCCCAAAGGACGTACTTCGCTTCGAGGCGATGAAAGGGGGAAGGGGTCATGGACGATGGCGCCAAAAATATGTATCACGCTTTATTACTTATACATGCAATGAGAACTCCAAATTTGGTATCACGAGCCCAATCCAAGCACAAACCCTGATCATGGGCAGTATTCAACCCAGTTATCCAAGTCCATGTTTTTGATAACAGTGGAAAAGTTGCCGGAGCTATTAGCCGTACACGCAGATTTCGCTTGGCTGGCCGACACGGATTTGTCATTGTTGGTATCACCACCCTTGGGGTACTCGATGTGAAAGACAGGCTTGTTCGCTTCGATGAAGGGCGCATAGGTATCACACTCATCGAACTCAGCGCACTGCTCATTGACACACCACTGCATGTTATCAATGACAGAGTCAATGATGCCAGCGCCATTCTTCAATCCAATTGAGAGACCACGGCTGTGGGACTGGGCAGCAAGCCAGTTCACGTAGTCGATAGCCTCAGCCTTGGTGAGATCCAGTCCGTTCGCGTTATCGTACCCGTCGATGTTATCAGGGTCGACGCCATCGCAGCCCTTCTCTACGGCAATATCGAGACGCGTCTGCATGATTTTGCGCACGTTTGTGGACTTGACGTTCAACCATTTCTCGCCGGGCCATCCGTCGAGATCGTCGCCCTTATCTGCGTCGTTGAAATCGTCGGCGTCATCGCGCCAGTCCTCGAACGAGCCGGCAGAGAAGTAGCAGATCACTTTGCGGCCCATTTTCTGGAGATTTGAAATGAAGGTCTTGTTGTTGTCGAAAAGATCAATGTCGTAGATTGGTGCATCCACTGCAGTGGAGATCGGTTTGTCCTCGGACTTCAGTATGATCTGCCACTTGGCGCCAACGGGTGGCTGCCATTTCACGGTCGTATTGGAACCGGTGCCCTCGTTGTTATTATTGTCATCGTCGTCTCCGCCATTTTTGAGGCCAACTCCCAGTCCGACACCTAGGCCGACACCTAGAGCAATGATGACAAGAGCGACGGTTCCGAAGATAAGAACCTTCTTCTTGGTCGACCAAGCCCACCAGCCCGTCTTGGATGATGGTTCACCCATTAGGGTAGGTTTTTGAGTGAGGGATGAGACGATGAGATAAGCCTGTTTGTGTGGAATATGTTGGTGAGATTGAGCGCGGTAACCCAAAATCGCGGGGTATTTGTATTTAGTGAAAGATTATGCGGTAGGCCAAGGAGAGGGAAAGAAGAGGGAAGAAAAGATCAGCAGGCATCAACTCGGGAGATAGGAACTCTTAAGCTCAAAATACACTGGGGCCTAGGTCACGGGTCTGGGGTTGAGGGAGATCCTCTTACGGAAAGATTGGAAAAAGCAAAGCTCAGCCTTAGATGGCAAACCCTTGAAAGATGACACTGAAAATACTTGAACGGGTAAACAAAGACGTTACAATCCATCTAGGAAATGAGGATGCCTGGAATACCCTTCGAAACAGGGCCAGGGCGGTAAAGATAAAATAAAATAAGGTGGTGGAACCTGTTGATCCGATCTGCTAATTTGATTATCTCGATCTGAATAGTATATTATCTATAGTAGAACAGTACTTTGCATATTGAGACAAGTAAAAAGAAAAAAAATGACAGGAGCTCAGGGGGTTGACTGAATTTTACATTGCCATAAAATTCGAGAGCAAAGCCACACGGTAGGGTGATTGGTCGCCTAAAATAGACGAAAAAAAGAAAGATCCCAGTTTGCCAAGAACTCCTCTGTACGGATTACTTGCTACTATGTTGGGATTGAGAGCTAATGGAGCGGTTTCGACTATTGTCCTTCCAAACTGAATGAAAACCACAAGGGTTTGAGGGGAAGTCGAAAGGCCTACTCTGCACTTCCAATATTCCTATTTGGAAACATTGCCACTAAGCTAAAAGGATATTTATGCATGTGCTTTAGCCCTGAAATTGGGGTGGTTCTTTAAGCCGTCACAAATATGGTATTGCTGTATTATTTTGGTAATTACCGTAGAACCTAACAAAGGACGCGTTTTGAAAAATAACATCCCGAGTCCCCGCTAGCCCTAACCCAACATCCGACAATGATTTTGAAATGCTAATGATCAGTCACTTTAAAAATCTTCCAGTCCTGACTTGTCGCACCCTAGTCAAGAACAAGGATACCCATCATCTGATGTCTTAAATCATCTTTGAATGACGCTTATGTGCAGAGTTTAATAGCGACATTTACATTCGGCTATTAATATCACTCTTACTAAAATACTACTGTTACAATTACTCCCGAATTGTCTATTCTATGTTTCGGATTGAACACCTTTCTCCTACATGTCCCGCTCTCTCCACAGCCCTTCGAGGCCTGGCTAGCGTGCCGAAGACGCTAAAATAGAGTACCACAGAAAAGTTAAATTCAATCTGATGGCGCTAAAACCCAGATAACCCAATCGCCTGATTCTTCCATTCCGGAAAATCGCTTGGACGCCACACCCGCTAACCGAAACAGGTCCACAGGACTGCGCAATCACAAATCGGAGTCTATACGAAATACCCCGAGCTCATTTGTTTCGCTTTTTGCCTGAGAAAGAATTTGAAGGGCTTGAGCCCATGCCAAGGTCGCGCTTAATAGCTGCCAAGATTCACCGTCAGACAAAACCATGCTTGAATCGTTTCATGGCTTTTGATTTAGATGAGTGTCTCGCCTAGAATGCACGCTAAGGGGTTTTCTTCTTATAGTTCATTCTATGTTGTATTACCTCGTAATATTTGCCTCCCGCACCTGCCGCTGCTGGGCATAGGAAGGAATATGAAAGGGAAGAAAGCGACAGTAGCAGCGGGAGTCAAAGTAAGCTCCGAGAGCCGAACTCACCCAAGACCACAGGCTTACATGAGACACGGAGTACATTCAACCTAATACCAGTTACAGCACATAAACCCGAGCCCGGCTCTAATGCCCAGGCACCGAAACAGAGCCATTATGGCCGTGATGCCAAATTTAGCGTCGAGCCTCTATGTATGACTCGACTGAACAGTTAATGCAACACCCGCATTCAAACGCATTGTTTATACGCTTCCCCGCTGTAGGTCTGGAGGCAGGGGTCGGAATGGAGCTGGATGCCCTATGCACCTGCAGGTCGACTATATAGGTATATGTACGGGGTATGCACCGATGTCTCAGACATTTACAGCAGCCTACACCTGCATTTACGCTACATCCACCGGTCTCCTCCGTCTTCCGAGACACGATCATTATTTTCCGAATTACTTGGCAATATCGATTGCCCGGATGGCGTTCGGTTAGGCGGGGTGGATACCGGGTGATGATGTGGTAGGGTGTGAGGTTGAGACAAATTAGGCTACAAAGCCGATGTCTGAGACTGTGCTTTTGTTCTTGGCCTTCTCCGTACGGAGTAGACGGGATCAACTTGCCGGTGTTCGCTTTGCCACGATTGAACGGGGTTAGATGGCTTAGTCTCATCGGTAGAAATGAACTTCTTTGTTCGTACTTTTGAATACATGACTCGTGTACAAAATGTGCTGGCATTGATTCCCAGCTCGCACCCACCGCCTTGTGCCGGATTAGTCGGATTAGTCGGATAATGGCGTCCCTTAGCTTGTACAACATGTTGATATTGTTGCCTCGTACCTGCAGCGCGAAATTGCTGACTTCGTCCTGATCTGCCAGACCGCCAGATGACATGTTCGAGGGTACTATTGATAATAGAATTCTGTCTCTTAGTCACGAGGCTGTGGAGTACTCCGTACAGGACAAGTATTGAGTGTACGTTGGATCATTCAGAAAGAATCATTGTATACCATCGTATATTTATACTTGATATTTCCAGACATTAAAAAATATAGGACATCGAATATTCATATCGACAGGAAAGGCACGGGTTCTTCTCCTTCACATATGTAGAAAGCATTATTGACATCTAAACGAGATATCCACAAGATAATATGAAAGCGATGGGTGCTCAACAAAAGCGAAAGGTACATAGGCCTGCCAAATAGGGGCAGGTAAATTATCTCTCCAACTGCTTAAAGGGAAATGGGAGTGGAGAGAGTGAATGTGACAGGGGTGCCAGTGAGCTTAACCCAGACGGTCAGGGGGTCAGCACCTAGCTGCTCAGTGGGGAAGCCCTGGGTGTTGGTAGGAGCAACAGGGAAGGTCACCGGAATGGGGTCAGTGCAGGTATTTCCAGTGGCAGATACAGTGACAGCGGTGATCTTCTGGTTGCTGGTGGCGTACTTCAGAGAGTAGCCGCACTTGTCACGGTTGAAACGGGCAAGGAAGGAAGCGGACATCTATGAGGAGTAAGCAAATGAATGAGGCGTTGTAACATGCTAGATGGGGTTTATCCTACCTCCTGGTGAGTGAGTGTGATGATGGGCCATTCAGCCAGGCGGACGAACTCCTGGACCACGACCTCCACCCAAGCTTGCATAATGGAGTACCTTTCGGACACACCGTTGATGGTAATCGGGTCAACATCAATGTTGCGGAGGTTGGCCTGGTGGAACATGTAACCGTCGTGGTAGAGGCCGAAGAGGTGACGCATGGTCTCACTCTTCTCAATGGCGAGGAGGTCCTGGAAGGTACCGGCACCAGCAGAGGTGGCGATCCATTCTGCAACGGTACAGGCTGGAGTGTCGCAGTTATAGTAGATGCGAGTGGCCCAGCGAGGGTTGATCTGCATACCGTCGAAATTGTTGGCGGCAACAGTTGTGAAGAGAGGCCACATGGCATTCTCCTTGTTCATAAGGGCAGGGCGGGTGTTGTCACCAACACAGTTAGTGATGCCGTTCTCCCACCAGGCGCGAAGGGCATCGCCATTGTGCAGGCCGGTGATAGCAGGAGGAATGATACCGTTGGAAGTGAACTTGGTGGCCTTGTCGATACCGACAGCTTTTAGCCAAGCCTGGTTGAAGCTGATCTCCTTGTAGACATCGCTGTAGGTGGCATTATTTTGCTCCTCGTGTGAAAAGGTGTGGGAAATGTGACCAAACTTGTTGAGGTTGCTTTCGGTGGTCCACCAGGCCAGGAGCTCATCCATGGCAGTGCAAGTATTAGTCCAGTCGTAAGCAGTAGGGACGGCGGGCCATAGATCAGTGCCAGTTCCAAGGGGTTTCATCCATTCGAGCTCAGTGTCAGGAGGCGAGTCATATTCAATAGCAGATCCGCAAGCATCGCTGCCAGCAGTCGATGTATCGGAAGAGTTCTCGATATTTCCGTTACCATTGTGGCCGATCTCGACAAAGTAAGAACTGCCGGCGGGCATCTTGGCATTGATCTCATCGGTCCAACTGGCAATATTGATCATATCCTGGGCGCGGATGCGGAAGTTTTCACCAGCGGGCGAGTAGATTTCAGTCTCGAGGAACATGTCATCAATCTGGGTGTTCAGGTTGACACGGCGGTACCCCGCGTACAGACCGCGGGTGATCCAGGTGATCCATGCGTGCTGCAAGTAGCTGGATGTAGCACTCCAATTAGTGTCGAAACCAATGAAGAAGGTCATCTGCTGACGGCCATCGAAGTTGTTGATCACACCAGCGACACTCTCAGTAGTGAAGTTTGTGGTGGGGGCAAACGAGGCGATTTGCTTGGTAGAGGTGGTGTTACTGATAGTCGCGGGATAGTGGTACAGACCACTGGTGCTGACACCTGCACCAGTCTTCAAGCCAGATGTGGGGAAATCGCTAATATCAGTGAATGAGACAAGCTGCTCGACGCCGTCGTCACAACATCCACCGATAGCAGATGTACCGAACTTGGGACCTGGGTAGACATCATATTGGACCATACGGACACCGTATTCAAGCTGATAAGCATATAGTTGGTTCCACTGATCCGTAGTCAGGGCACTCTGGAAGCCCACGTCACCACCATACTCATAGCTGACTTCAGAGGCAACGACAATACCACCAAAGTTTCCTCCAGCGGTGCCATTGAGGTCAGGAAGAGCAACACCAGCAGAGGGCACAATCAGAGTGGTGAATGGGATACCGTACCCATTGAGCCCAGAGCTGGCGACACCTGCAGCGGCAGCATCTCTAGCAATGACCAGAATGTCGGCTGCAACAGCAGCGTGGTTGAGGGGGGTGGCAGAGGGTGAAGCCGAGATTGAGGTAGCTGTGGACGACATTCTAGGAGTAGTCACAGAAGCACTTGTGGAAACAGGTGCAGACGAAATAGCCGAAGAAGAAACGACTGACGAAGAAGTCAGGCTGCTGGGAACAGCGGATGAGGCGGATGAGCTGACTGAAGAACTTCCGGAAGGCGAAACAGCAGAGCTGGATGAAACAGACAATGACCCACTCTGGGTAGGGACGCTGGAGGTACCAGACGGGACAGTGACGATTACGGACTCTGAAGCAGAGTCGGACGGGATTGAACCCGACGAGGTAAAAGTAACGAAGGTGGATGTTACAGAAGTAGTGCTCGGTGCAACCGTGCTAGACGAACCGATAACAGGGGTAGGGGACAAAGAGGAAGCGAACGAGTGTGTAGAAGTAGCGACCGTGGTAGAGCTCACTCCAGCAGAACTAGTAGGAGTACTAGAAGGAGTCGAGACAGGAGGGTGATAGGCGATGACAGTCGGCGTCTTCTCAGGCCAAACTCCGGGGGCAGTGTCGCATGTTATAAAGGCGTAGTAGCAACCGACCTTCAAAGCCCAGACTGGGACAGCAATCATGACGATCCTGACTAGGTTCTCGATAGGGAAGGTCACACAGTATGCAGGTCTGCAATACTACACTTGACTGCTAAAATGCTAAAATGAAATATGATACGGAGTATATTGAACGAATGAACATAGCGTCTGTCTACCCACATGTGCATGATCATTGTCTTTATACTCCGTACTCTTTACCTACAACATAGATGAAACCTCCGTTGAGAAAGCCAAAGGTCAAGTTCAAGGCCTATCGCCTTTTGTGTCTTGTTAACTCCGGAGGTAATCTCGTATCCTAAAAGAAAAATTGCTTTGTACGTGCCTCTATGTGGCGTTAATGGCTGATTGTGGGAGTATAGGACGAGTTCTATCACATTTCTGGGTCTAAGATCGGGCGATTTGGGAATTGGAAAGTATTGGAGACAAATAATATGTGTTGGCAGCTTATGCGAGGTATGCGATTGGTCAATCAATTGCTCTTGGTAGGGCTAAGATAAAGAAGTTCACATTTGATTTCCCTTTTTAGTTTGTCGTCAAAAATAATAAGCGAATAAAAAGAAAAAGATTAGGCAATTGAATGAACCGAGACTTAGAGAACGCCATACAAGCGCTAAAGGCTCCGAGGACAGCACATTGCATACATATAGAGTGCCGAGGTTTTTACGAGAACGAGACCAAGTAAGATTCCATCAGGGGGAGACTCGTCAGGTCCAGAACTTGTGGGGGAAACAAAGGAAACGCATGTCTTACCTCCAAATACGGAGTACGGTGTATATACGTAATACGAGGTATTAGTATTTTCCTTTGTTACAGTTTCTAGTAATTTTCCCTTAGCTGTTTATACATGTCTTGCATTTTGCCGGTTCTTCATTGTCATCCCAGTCCCACTCTCCGTCGGTTTCATCAGGTTCGACTCAGCAACTTTTTCCTGAATTTCCTATTTTTCCTTTTTTTTCTTTCTATTTTGATTATTTTTGATTAATAGTCCTTTGCCAAGACCTCGAGTTTTGCAGAACGATATGATTCTAGTGCCTAACTAACCTCATCCTTTAGCTTATAAGCTAAGCAAGCAGTTGACATCTGACAAAAGAGATACATCTTGAGGAGGTGTGGGAAACCTAATGAATTCAATCTTGATATGATATGTTCAATGAGAGCAGATACGGGGAAAACAGACAGGGCCGTAATAATATTGCCACGATATCAATCGCATGGCTTTGCCACACATGCCAGCGTTATTGTATCTGCTATGGTATCCATGCCTGGCTCCACCAGGTCTCATCGGTCAGCCCTGGTGCATTTGCTAGCTTGTTTAGTCTTGCATCTAATGAAAACTTTAGCGTGTGCTATTTTTGCGGTGTTTGAGACGTCCTGAATAGACGCCCAGACACCTACCCTTTGTCCTAAACAGTCCAAAACAGGCGAAGCTACTCCCTGTATACATTTTTCTTTTTCTTATTCTTATTTTTATTATTTTTCTATTTTTCTTTTTTTCCTTTTTTCTTTCTCTCTGCGCCCCTGACAACTGGGCAAGGTAAATCCTAGGAGGCAAAATTGTCAACTTTACTTATGCAGCTTGGAGAAGTGGATATTCACTTTAGTCCTTCTTCCCCCACTACTCTTTTACCTTATCACCTTGTCAACACTTGAGCTCCCCTGTGCTGTGCTATTTTCTTTTTGCTCTACATCACATCTTTGACTTTTTGCTGAACACAGCAGTCACTCGTTTAAGCATGTCACTAAGCATTTGCATTTGAGAAATTCGCATCTCTACTTGGCAGCAGGTTATCCTCACAGTGGGCCTCTTATATTGCGCCTAAAGACATATCGAGTCGAGGACTCAACATTTCGACATAATGAATGGAGTAGATTCACTCCCGTCCAGGCCACATCCTCTTGGCTGGGATGCCATGAAAGAACATTGGTGGCAATTTGTATGTTGACCCTGGTTCTCTTTACAACTTGACCTTTGGCACTCTCGTCCCAAACACAGAGCACGAAGATATGCTGACTATTTTCCCCAGGTATTCATTGGGGTGTTACTATTCACAGTCACCACTGGATCTTTGTCAATCATATATTCTGGGGTAAAAAGACTTGTCAAGTACTATAAGGTATGATATAGCGGTCACCAACAAGCTGTTCTCCTCTAGTCTGAATATTAATTCCAGGGTATTTTTAGTCGAGACCGCTACCAGATAATGTACCCTCGACTGTATCCAAACGTCTGGCCAAGCTAGCCAACCGAGAGCTCAACTTGATTGACAGGCGTCCACGCAAGGGAAAGCCCGTGAGCTTCGGAGTCTATCTGGGAAGCTTCGAAAACCCACCCACTGTCTCTCAAGAAAGACTTTTGCAAGAATGGGATATCTTGGTCGTGGATCCCTTCCAGACAGGTGTCGCCAAAGCGATTTCCAGACACGAGCGCAGCCAAGTAATAGGACGTGTTGATTTTGGGAAATTCATTCCCCAAAACGCAACCGCTCTGGCCGTCATCGAAAAGATCGAGGAATTGCTTGCAAGTGGATTTAATGATACCGCATTTTCCGGTGTTCTCCTCGCAAATTGGGAAGATGTGCTCCGTCCTACCGCTCGAAGAAAGCTTCTCGAGACCATCAGCAGCCTCGGCCTGGCAGTATATCTCGAGTCTGAGCCTCCTCATTTCCTGAAGGATCGAAAGGCCGTGCAGAGCGACGCCGTGGCGGGTTTGGTCATTCGGAACGCTAGCATCATGCCTCAAGGCGAAAAGCGGGACTATTTCCAACTGACTGAACTGCAATCAACAATCAAGGCATTTGTTTCTGAGTCTTGCATGAGAGACTTTGTCGTAATGGCCTGGGAAACCGTCGACGACAATGTCACTGTTTCCAATGCCATAGTCCGCCGATCTATTCAGTGGTGCGGCTTTTACAGCGCAATTACCTGGATCGGCCCTGAGGCTGCTCTTCGCGATGCGGATCTTAACGTCACGACTCTCGAACCTCTCCCCGCGTTTGGTTGGCTGAAGGAAGCAGAAATTATGAAGGCCCACGACATCTGGCGTGCCAACCTGAACATATTGCCTTCCCCGGATACCAAGGCTGGCTGGGACATTCTCAAGCCGATTTTCCCTGCTATCGATGCGCTACTGGATTCATCAGAATACGACTCCGAGGCTCCCGATAGCCCGACTGCTCGACTGCGTGATCCTCCAGAATGGGTCGCACAGGTCAAGTCACAGGGCAGCCCTCTCTCTATCTCCATATCAGGGATGGCCTACAATTCGCTTGGTTGCTTCCCTCTCGGCTCTGACTCGAACCCACTGGCCTTTGCAGAGATTGTCCAATCTCAACGACGCCTTAAGTCTCTTAATCTTCTTCATCCCGTCCCGACATCCAAAATACAAAGCATTGGACTCCTTTTACGTCAATTCTATGACTCTCTGGCTCTCTCCGGAGATGACGAGCATTTGGCCAACACAATCAAGGAACTTGCGAATTGGGCATCCAACGATTTGTTGCACGTAAATCTTTGTCTCGACTCTGGTCTGCGCAAGAGCTCTGATCTCCGCTTTTGGGCCGTTTTTGATATGGAACATGATGGTATTGAGATCTATGTATCCAAGAATGCACAAGGCCTGGCTGGAACTGTTCTTCACACCTTCCTCTCTGCAAAGGGCTTTCCCCGCCATGTTTGCTTCGAGACTGAGGCAACTTTCGCGACCTGGTCTCAGAATGTGTCGCACGATACTGGCCTTCCTCGCCGACTTATTCAAGATATCGATGCTCTCAGCCCTGAAGAACGTCTCCTTCTCTTGCAGCACCTCTCTCTGACTAATTCACATAGCGAGCTATCCGAGGTCGTCTGCACGTACATTCGCAAGCAACTGGTCGATGCCCCTTCTTTTGCTCAGTTGAAAGCACTGAACACGGTTGGGTATCTCGAGAAGTCCACCTCTCCTGAGGATCTGATCAGGTCTCGTATCAACTGGTACACGGATCAAGGATGCAAATACCCATCTCTCGATGTCTGTCTCGGTCTTTTCAATCAGGCCGACAGCGTACTGTCCGATGTTTTGAGGTATCGTCGCGAGGATGACCTTGCCGCTATTACTAGCGGTCTCTGCGCGCTTCTTCAAGGCGGCTCCGTTGATGCATATGTGGACATGATGGCTCTTGCGCTTTTCTGCGCTGCAAGACGGGGAGCCTTCGATGAGATTTACGCAGAAGTTACGGATCGGAATCCCCTCTTTAACAACCATACCGATCAGGCTGCGGCCTTCGCAGAGTCATTTGCCCTGGGATCGCGATGTGAGGCTTACTTTGATGTGGCTCCCAGTGTTTTCGGAAAGTTGCTATCCGACCGATTCAGAGCTTATTACGGAGACCATCAGCCGCCGAACTGGGTGAACGGAGCTCCGCAGCTCGCTACATCCTACGCCGGAGCTCAGATTGATGTCAACCCTGATGAACAGCCTAATACTATGCCTGGATACCAGCGATTCACATTCCTGAGTGTCTTCGCCATTCCAGCTCTGATTGACATTATCTTGCTCACCATGGTTGGCCGTGGGCTTTATCTCTCTGCTGCCATGTCTCATGATGAACAGGACAGTGCAACTATGGCGCTGATGATCTCCCTGCTGCTTTCCGGTGCAATTGGTACCTGGATTGCATGTGGCGGCCCTTACTACCTCATTTCGATGGCCTTCGCAGCAGCGAACATGTTCGTTCTCATTCGTCTAATTGCCGGTATTGCCTTCACTGTGGCCGGTGGCTTGATCGGCTTTGTTGCCATTTCAGGTGTTCGAGGCCCTCGCGCTGGTATCATCTTCTACCTCTACCTCATCGCTCTGACAATCTACTTCTCGACTTTCGCCTCGCTTGCAAGCTTCAGTTATCCCGGCTCGACCTTCTTGTCAGGTCGTAAGTCAATCATTATGTGCATTCCGATCCTATTCTTGTCGCCGATCATCACGGCCTGGACCGGCCACGACTCGGCTGTCTATCTCACCGTTATCTATGTCTTTATTGGTGTGCTCTTGCTCTCCCTTCGTTCGGTTACCTCCAAGTGGGTCACTTGGTACCAATCCATGCGACGCACTGATGATACCGAGATCCGCAAGTGGTATATCTCTGCCCATGGAAAAAATGACGAAAAAGTGTTTGCGAACATGAGTGATCCGGCTGCCCTCAAGCTGGCGAGAGAAGCCCTATTGAAGGACGTCTTGGCTGAAACGAAGCGTGGTATTTTCTCAAAGGCGTCTAAAGATAAAATGGTCGTTGAGCTTGCCCGGGACTGGGAGTCTACCAATTTCCTTCTCGACTGGTACTGTCGCTATGCAGATGTTCCGAGGCCGATTCCGTTCAGTTCTGGTTGGAATATCCAAACCAAGGTCGCACTTGACACCCTGCGCAACTCCCAGAAAGGTATTCGTCTCCACAATGCATTCGTTCACTGGCGTCAGTCAAGCAAGGAGATGGGATGTGGTGTTCTCTACTTTGTGATTGCGCTTCTCGACAAGTGGGCGCAACTGTTGAGTGGTGATCACATGCTTAGTCTTCTTCCTGCCGAGAATGATGCTAATCGAATGGCCGTTGGCTTCGCCCTCGCCTACTATTTGATCGGAGCGGTGCTCATTGATACCAAAGCCCAGGAGCTCCATGATGCCCTTGGTAGCAAACCCCCTCTTCCGTCAGATCTGCAAAAGACATTCGACTCGCACAGAAACAGGAGGTACAACTCCGGCGCAAGGTATACTGGCGTGTCCTTTTCAGATTCCTCTTGTGGCATGTCTGGAGCCTTGCTCTAGCTACTGCTCTCATTTGGGCCTTCCAGTCTACGATCGAAGGCATGACTATTTTCTTCTCCTACGTTCTCGCCTACACAGGCTTGATCTGGTACCAATACACGAAGATCTTTACGGGCCCCCATGCACTGAAGCCTCTCATCATTGGTATCTGTATCGGATTGCCAGTCGGTATTGCGCTCAGAGTCTGTCTGCCGGATAACAAGTACTCACAGATCATTGGACTCGGGGTCGCCACCTGGACCGTTGCCATCCTCTCGATCTGGAATGCCAAAATGGGTATGCCAAACAAAGTGGACTCCCCGGTGGAACTTGGCCGCACCTTCCATGCGTTTACGACGCCCTGGTCGGATCCTGACTGGTCCCAGCAAGAGCTTCAGACTTTCTTCGAAAGTTATTCGCTGCTTCCTTCCGATTCCCGATTCAGGCTCGATCCTGGTGTCAATCCCGGTTTGGAAATAAAGAGTGTCATGTTGTCCCGCAGAGAAGAACTTAGGATCGAAGAGGCGTTCCCTTGCTCCAAGGATATTGTCAACACTGCGATCACATCCTTTGAGAAGGGCGACATCGTCATTGACCTTGTCTCTCCTGGCTCTCTCGGTCCGGGCATTCGAGCTCTCAGCTGCAGTACCGGAAACCAGCTAAAGTTGGCCATTGTCGTGGGAGGGCTCCTAGATGAGCGTCTCGATATCAGCGCAAATTGTCAGATCATCGCTGAAACATTGCTTCATGCTGCCACAGAGCTTATGATGGGTGTTCCTCATGAATACGCATCGTTGGCAGGGTCGATCATTTCCGGTGGAGTAACTCACACAATGGCTCGACAGCTTCGCGAGGAGGCCAACACAACTACGGTCGTACGCTGGGCTAAGAAGGAACTCCTTCGCCAGCTTTGTCTTGGTTTCGAGCCCGATCTCCATTGGGACAAGTTGCCAACCGAAGTTCGAGATGTGCTGTTAAAGCGTTGTTTGGGTGAACAATGCAGCCTCTCCAATAGCCAGCGCGAATGGCTCCAGCAAAATCTTTGCACATTCGATACTGATGATCTCAATGTCCATGTTGCCCGTTGCAACCTTGGAGCTGCCACCGCAGTTAGCGTTCTTGATTATGCTCACTGGGGAACTGGAGAAACTGCTCTTCCCAAAGAGCCCGAGACTTCGAAGTACATTTCCTACATACCACGGAAGCTCCCGATGGCATTGTCGCTAGTCCGATCACCAGCTAGCTACATTTACCACAAGCTGGGATCAATGGTCAAGTTCTTTGTGGTTGCTTTGGTCGCAGATCCGGAATTCCAGAGGGAGTTCAACCACGTCACTCAGACCCTTCCGACCGTTGTCCGTGTGCCAATCGTATTCTTATTGAATATGGTCTGGGTGTATTCCAAGATCGTTCAAGATTTGGGCTTGTCATTCTTTGTCTTCCATGGCCGCAAAAACGTCAAACGGCTGTGGGAAGAGACCAAGGGCATGACAATCCATATCAAAAAGAACCGGGTCATTGTCCAGAGTCTGGACGGCACCTTTACAACATTCAGGCACCACGAGATTGACGGTGGTTTCAAGATCTACCACTACGCTGGTGAGCATAATAACGAGCCCAAGGAAGTCAAGTCCTTGAAGTACGTCAGCACCTACTCGAGTGAGATGTTGCTTCTGGTCAAGCAGGAGTTCAAGGACGGCAAAATGATCAACGAATACCACTACGACTACCAAGCCCCGAGTAAGAAGGGTTTCAAACTTATCAAATCATCAAACCGTATTCCACTGGGACGACGCTGCGTGTCAGGAGCAAACCATCTGCAAAGCGTGCAGTACAACCGCAAGGGTCTTATCGAATCAGGTTCCTACATGAAGGATGGCAATCTTATCCGTTTCAAGTACCACTATCGCAAGAACCCCCGTTTCGGCGATGAGTTGCTGCGAGCCGAGTTTGTCTTATCCCACATCAGCTGCACTGTGTCTTGGTGTGCGCCTCCGCGACGCCATCCCGAGAAAGTTGAGCGCTGGATTCCTCACTCCAAAGTCACCGAAGCCAGCTTTGTCCAAGGCGCCGACGTCTACGAAAGTCGTTGGCTGTACGATCACAAGTTCCATCCCACCATCTTCACCACCATCAACGGGAAGAAGATGCAGACTCCGCCCATGATTGAACACGATTATCTGGGTGTACTGGCCAAGCCGAAGTATACCAGCTTTGTCCATGATAACCCCTTTGTCTACTGCGACAGTCTCCAGTCAAACATCCTTACCCGGGCACTGGGCCTCACGAAGAAGCGCTTTGTTGTGTCAACTTCCCAGGCTCGCTCCTTGATGTGGAAGGCGTGGAAGGATCGTGTTGACTTCGATGCAATTATCGTTCGCTGGATGGACGACCGTATTCTGCGCAGAGACAAGGTTCTTTCCCCTTACTGGCGCAGCCGTGACTGGGGCAATCTCACATCTGCCAAGAAGTATATGGATATCCGCGCTGATGCGATCATGGCCAGTGCAGATCTGGACGACAACATTTCCAGCTGGACCCCGCTCGCTGTGAAGCTCACCGATCTGCTCAACTTTGGTTCTGGCGGTGATTCTGTTGTTAACACTCGCTCCAAAAACTTTGGCACTGATACCGACAAGACACTTCATGTTATGGCGGCAGACAACGGTACCTGGCCTAATGAAGGTGGTGGTGTCTCTGCCTGTCGACGAGATATGATCAACTCCCTGAGCACCATCAAATGGCACATGATCTGCGAGTCAGCAAACGATTTTGGTGTTCCAAAGCATCAAACTGAACAGAACGTCCAGTCTCTCAAGATCATCCCGCTTTGGGGTATGGACTTCCTCACTCCAACTCACGGTTTGTTTCATAACAAGCTAGATGCCGAGGTGGACAATGTTACATCCGCAAGCGAGTTCGACATCAAGATGAACTTCATTCCTATCCTGACAGCTTTGGTTAAGGGTGCCCGTGCCGTACATCTCTCCAAGTCTGATATCCACCAGGCGACTCGCGCGCTTGTGAACCTGAACACATACTTCCAGGAGTCCCGTCATTGGACTCAGGTGTGGAACAGTGAAATGGTGAAGCAGAGCTGGCGAGATTTGTGGCTGACCCAGGAAATGCCAAACACCATCCCGTCATCCCAGTGGTTCGACACCGAGCTTCCTACTTTGGCGTCCCTCGACGTCGCCTTGGAGCTCTGGTACCGCTATCTCTTCATCTTCTCAATCCCGGTTCCAGAAAAGATTCCTTCAACCTTCCAAGCCTCACATCACAGCGTCAGTGCCTCTTACGGTGTTGTATGCAAGATCAAGCGCAACTGTACCTTGCAGATTTGGGACCACGCCATCGCTTGGCGTGAAACCAATCTCTGTCTATCGTCTGCCCTGTGCAAGCTCTCGCCATTTGTTCGAAACGCACTCCTTGGGTTGATGCGAATTACCTCCGTCTTGGCCCTTCACCACGCAGACATCATCCTTCCCTGTGCAGACTTCTTCAACCCCGGTTGGGAGGTCGAGATTGGTACCTGCCAGGGCACGATTGAGCACCGAAACACTTTCCGCCGAAAGATCGATCCTGTCGTCAACGGTATCACCGATATGCAGAAGTTTTCTCCAGTCAAGGAAATCAAATCCGAGCGACCGACTGTGACCATGTTGTCCCACGTTTGGTATGCCAAGGACATCAAGACTGCCCTTCTCGCTGCGGATATCATCATCAATCAGTGGAAGTTCGATGAATACCATCTGGACATCTATGGTGCCATTGATAAAGCGCCGACTTACTCTACCGAGTGTCAAGAGATCATCGCATCAAAGGGTCTTCGTGGCAGAGTCACGCTCTGTGGAAGTGCCGACCCCATGAAGGTCCTGGAGAACACATGGCTTTTCCTAAACTCATCTCTGTCTGAAGGTCTCCCTCTCGCCCTAGGAGAGGCTGCCCTTACCGGAGCCCCCGTCGTCTGCACGGATGTCGGTGCTTCCCTCCGAGTACTCAGCGACCCAGATGACTTCTCCCGCTTCAGTGCTGTCGTCGCACCAAATGACGCCCTCGCCCTAGCAAAGGCCCAAATTGGCATGCTTGCCATGCTCGGGGAATGGAGCAAACACAGCGACGACACGTCGCCCGCGCCAGTCCTGACCTCCTCCCCCACACCCGAGGAAGTCGCAGCCATAACCCGCCGCATGTACGAGAAGAGCGAGCACCGTCGCAAACTCGGCATGATGACCCGCAAAATTGTTCAGAAGTCCTTCAGCGGTGACCGGTACCTTCGCGAGCACGAGCAGATGTTGTGGATTGGCAAGTCTGCCAAGATGATGGCCAGCCGCGCAGCTGGCGACCCAATCGACCCTGCCGACGTGGCAGCCGCCATCGAGACTGGCGTCGACGAAGAGATCATCACCATCCCGCGCGGCGTGGTACACTCCTGGCGCTCATCTGCCCACTCCGGTATCTCCACAATCTACAGCTCCACATCCCAATTCCCAGGTCGCGGCGGCCTCCACCGTCCCGCGTCTGATATGTCAGCTATAAGCATGAGCATGAGCAATATCTCTACGGATACTGAGTCCTTCGGTCGTCTGCCGGTCTTTGCGCCAAGGCCTACCGCGTTGCCCAACGGCGGCTCCCCGGGGAATATGTCACCCATGTGGACATTCAACCATCGGTTGTCGGTGCTAAATTCCGGTCCTCACTCTCGTCCTCATTCCTCCTCGCGCTCCGTCTCAACTGCTGGTCGGGAACAGCTGCGTGGCTTGCAGCGTGAAGACTTCCTTCCGTACCGAAACTCGGATATTAGTGTCGTCAACAGAGATGACTTCCTTCGGGCTGGCGGACTTGATCCTAGTCACGCGTCTTGATTTCCCTTCTTACTATCCCCTGCTTGCACATACTGCACTTCTGTATATTTTCTCGTTGCTTTTTGTTCATACTTGCATTGTCCGGTGTTTGATTTCGTTCCTTTGAAAAGCCCTCTGTTAATATGGTTTGCCTGATCTTTTCATACCTTTTTTTTTTTGACATGTTGAGAAATTGTGGCGTACCTGTCGCTGCAGCGACTACGGTCCTTCCATCTATATTCCTAGTTTTGCATCATGATAATACATTAGATCATAATATGCATCCATTGTTCCTTAACGCTATATGTATATCTAGCAGAATATAATCTACCCGAACAGGGGGGTGTACATGATCCCGAAACAAATGCATTTATCCCGAAAAATCAGAAGAAGCACAAGATGACGAACGGCGCGAAATCCTACATCACGTCGATTCTTGTGGTTTCGGATTGGCGGTCCGATGCCATTCACCGTTGAACGCATTAATGAGCCAGCTCGAAAGACCTTGATTCACAGTTAGTCATGTCCTCTCCAACACTGGGAGGCCATAAAATGGAACGCATCGGGAAGAACTTACGTTCATAAACAAGCGCATGTGCCATGTGGAATTGTATACTATGATCCGAGTCAGGGAAGACCTGCATGTCGTAGTTGTCGATATTCTTTAGATCCAGCTTGTCAATCAACACAAGAGTGTTTTGGAGATGAACATTGTCGTCGGCAACACCGTGCATAATCAAAAACCGAACACTGTGGCCTAGGGCCATGACATCATCGATGGAGGCATTTCCATAGCCTGAGGGGTTGTGCTCGGGGGTGTGCATATAACGTTCTGTATAGATGGAGTCTATGCGGAAGTAGAAGGTTAGTATGTGCATGTGGGAGCACAAACAGAACAGCAGTAATTTCAATGGGCTTACCATAGAACCTCCAATCGGTGACCGGTGCCACGGCCATGCCGTATTGGAACGTCTCGCCCGCATCTTGTTCAAGGACCTTCAGGGTCATGTAGCCACCGTAGCTCCAGCCCCAAACTGCCATGCGGCTTTCATCCACGTAACTCTTGCTAGCCCAGATCTTGGCTGTCTCGATCTGGTCGATGGCTTCATAATGGCCGATATTACCACGGACAACGCACCGGGCTTCTCTCCCAATGAAACCTGTTCCTCGGCCATCCACAGTGACGACAATATAACCCAGGCTGGAGGCGACATAGGTCTGGAAGTCAATCGTGAACTTACGGTCGACCGTTTGCGATCCTGGTCCACCATATAGGAAGAAAAGCACGGGGTATTTCTTTTCAGGGTTGAAGTTGGGAGGGCGGCGTTCCAGAACTTGGAGCGTGTAACCATCAATGGTTACATTGCTGTACACCTCTGTTGGGATGGCAGACTCCTCGACCATCTTAGCGAGTTCAACATTCTCCTCGATGAGATTTATGAAGTCAATTTCGTCACCTTGGGTGTTGATCACGGCCTGCCATGGCACTGCTGGGCCCTTATAGCTGAGTAAACCATACCCGGCTCCATGGGAAAATGAAACATCGAAAAAGCCGGGTGCAGACGTATCCGTCAGAGATCGGAGATCGGATCCATCCAGTTTGACCGAGTATACGTGACGCTGAGTTGGAGCCTCCTTTGTGGCAACAAAGTATACCAGACCCTTCTTCAGGTCAACAGCGGACGGTGCGTTGACCACTTCCCAATTGCCCTTGGTCAACATCACCGGTTCTGGGTTATCGAAAGGCGTGAAATAAGCCAAGTGATCATAGCCTTCATAAATAACGGTGTCAACGTAGCCATCGTGTGGTCGACCATTTTTGGGGTCAGCAGGAATAACCCGAGTGGACTGTGTAGGCTCAACCCAGCCACCGTCGAGAGCTGCGATATCATCTGACCGCACCAGTTTCCCAGTTCGGGCCTTTGTGTCCATCACGAAAATCTTCACAACATCGCTCTCGCGATTCGTCTCTCGAATCAAAACCTTGCCTTCGGACGCCCAAACAACCTCGATGATAATTCTTTCCTCGTCAACAAAGTCCTCTGGCATCTCAAATGAGAAAACTTCATTTTTCTCAACATCATAGAACTGTAAGTTGACGATTGGATTCGGGCTGCCGGGTTTCGGATACTTGATCTGCCTGACTTCGGGGTAATTTTCAAGTCCAGGCGGTGGCTTTTTGCCTGACGGCCGTGAAAGGAAGTACTGAATAGGATATTCAGGAACAGCTGTCTCGTTTGTTCGAAGGAATGCGACGAACTTCCCATCGTCAGACCACCAGGTGCCGGTGTTGCCTGAAAAGACTTCTTCCTCGTATACCCAGTCCGGGACACCATAGAAGAGGTTCTCATCGCCGTCCTTGGTGACGGGGGTGACTTCCAAGGAGGCCAGCTTACGCAAATATAGGTTGTTCTCACGAACAAACACAACCGCATCAGAGGTTGGCGACCAAACTGCAAGCTGTACACGTCCACTCAGGTTTCCAGGATCTAGCGGCTCGGCCTTCTGTGTCGCCACATCCAAAATCCAATATTTCCCAAAATATGAGTGTCTCCAGTTGGACTGGATGTCAGTCATGACCAAGACCTTGTTCATATCAGGACTCGGCCACGTCTTGGTCGATAGCATGGCCTCTCCATCAAACCAAATATACCCCTTCTTCATCAACACTCTAGTTTCGAGGTTATCGACGCCATCCTCGCTACTGCGGATGTCCTTCACCCGCAAAAAGGCGTCCTGTTTCTCGCCCTGCTCAACCAAAAGACCATCCTCGCCGTCCGGGCCTGCAATCCAGGAGATCGCATGGGACTTCGGAGACCAGGTACCACTCAAGACTTGCTCAAGTGTGACTGGTTTACCGTGGCTCGTACCACCGGTGGCCGTGCCTGGTTCATGAATCTCCACGGTTGAGGCAGACGAGAGGGCCGCGGTATCGGGTCGTTTCTGCGTGAGGAACAGCACGAAGGAAAGCACCCAGCCACCGACGCAGAGCAACACCAGTAACCAGACGATCTTGCGCAGGCGACTGGACGAGCCGGTCTTCTTCCCGCTTGATATAAGAGGCTCATCTAAGCCAGTTTCCCCTCCGTCTTCGACGTCCCGGTATCTGTCCCCATCTCCTCCGTCCGTCGGCATCGTGGTGCCTCCCTTGTAGTTCTTCATGAATGATTCGGAGGCGATCGACAGGCCCGAGTCGGTGGATGTTTGTGAGGCGAGGGATTCCGACCGTTGTCGAGTCAACGGTACGGACTCTGAGTTCCCGTCATCTTCGAACTTCCCCATGGTGGTTGGCGATCGGAGTTCACAGGCGGAGCTGACGTCCGATCGTCACGCTATCTCTTATCGCCAGCAATTCGAGGCGCGTAAACGTCAGCAATCACTGTTTAAGGGCAGTAGGTATGTATATAAATATTTATAGTCGTCAAATTACTGAGACAATATATGGAAAAGCAGAGATTACCTCGAGAGCTTCCAATGTCGAGAGATGTTGTGAAACGGGCCGAGGTCATCTCTTGGCGCGGACAAAGAGTTATTCACGGTCTTTAGCTCCAAATATCCTTATTCAGTTCCATTTTGGGCTCTAATATCGATGGTTTTTAGTTTTCTTGCAGACTGGCCTTGTTGCTGATGTGTACACTCTTAATGGTATCATTGGCTGTTCATCGTGGCAATTGGTGCTCAAAGGGTTACTATATATATTCTAGGGAACAGGCCCTGGGCCTAACTATGTGCGCATCTAAAATGCGCAAGTATTTGGCTACCATTGGGACCTGAGATTCCTGTTCATGTGTACGACTTGGCCGTGTCTGAATCATTGAGCAAGTCACCAAAGACTGATCTCTTTGTTGAAACGAGGGATGAAGGCTATACGGCATGGGATGACATCGATAGACAGAAGCTTCTAATGAATATAATAGCATAGGAGATATATGAGAGATGCATATAGTATGCTTTATGAAGACGTTGAACGCCTTCGACGTTACTTTCAAAATGAAATGGCCCCAATTTCAAAACTGCCATGTTAACATGACGCCCTCGAGCCGATCTATACCCCAAGCGATCTTTGGTGATAGAATTTGCGATAGTATTGCAGGGAGCTCTGTTTGCCATATACATTACACAGGAATTGTTACAGGACTGAGTGTGATTCTATGCAGGAACGGGATATTTTTTTAATTACTCGTCGCGATTAGATCGCTTTCCATCATACAGCTCAGTTAGCGGGGCGTTTACCGCGACAGAGCAATGTCATCAATTCTCATGATCATCTTCACAGTCTCCGCAGCCAGCTCAATCGCACTAGTGCTGACCAACAGGGGCTGGAGAATGTTCTCCTCTGTGATATCATCCTTCACACCACCGCTGCGAATGCTGACACCAGCATTGTGCTGGCCCTGAGCGTGGCGGTGACGCAGTTCAGTCACAACCTTGATGGAGTTGAGACCGGCGTTCTCAGCGAGAAGTAGTAGGGATGACCTCCATGGCGTCGGCGAAGGCCTTGAAGCAGATAGCCTCGGTGCCAGTAAGCTCACGAGCACGCATGGCGAGTGTGTGGGCCACTTCAACCTCGGGAGCACCACCACCTGCGATCATGGCACGCTTCTTGACGAGGCAGCGAATGACACACAGGGCGTCGTGCAAAGATCGCTCGGCTTCATCCAGAATCAAGCTGTTGGCACCGCGGGCGACAATTGAGACGGTCTGGTTGTAAGCGGCAAGAGGAGCCTTGATACCGGTGATCTTGACGTAACGAGCACCGGAGGCCTGGACTTCCTCGACAAGGTCAGCGGTGCCGAGCTTGTCCTCGGTGAAGGAGTCGACATTAGCGACGGGCTTGCAGCCGAGACTCTTGCACAGGAACTCGACCTCATCACGCTCAATATCCTTGATGGCGAGAATCTTGAGACGGGAAAGGAAGTGCAGGGAAAGTTCGTTCACGGCGTCACGGAGGATGGACTTCTGAATCAAAAGGACGTTGCACTTGGTCTTCTGGATCTTTTTGACCATGTTGAGCATGTATTGGCGCTCCTCCTTCAGGATCTTATCCATCTGACGGTAGTCGTTCACCACGATTTGGTTCTCCATCTAAAACCTGATTATCAGTCTTGTTCCAGTGACAGTTCGAGGTGCAAATAAACATACGTCTGGCTTGGGCGGGCTCAGTTGGAACTGAATCAGACCTATCCGCGCCTTCTCGATTCTTGTGGGGCCACCACTGGTCTTAATCACAGGCTGGTTGAGAACCACGCCATCAACCATCTCGCTGTCCTCGATTGTGCCGCCAACCTTCTTCACGATACGGATGTCCCGCAAGTCCACATTCTCTGCGGTCTTCGGGTCACAGACCTTTAGCACAGAGTCCACGGCCATCGGGCCCAGAAGTCCGGAGTGCTGGGACACGATCTTGGACGAAAGCGAAGTAGAAGCGGCTTGGAGGAGGGTGGAGCGATCGGAAAGGTTGATAGGACGGGACATGTTGTGGAGGATCTCAACGGAAGCAGCGGCGGCTCTCTGGAAAGACTCGGAGATGACAGTGGGGTGAAGGCCCTTGGCTAGCAACCTTTCGGCAGCGCCGAGCAGACTGCCAGCAATGACAACTACTGATGTCGTTCCATCACCAGCTTCGACATCCTGTGCCGCACTCAGGTCGACGAGCATACGGGCAGCTGGGTGCATCACGCTCATATCCTTCAACATGGTGTTTCCATCGTTGGTCTGCGGGGGTCAGTTGGGGCTTTCGATATGTTCGAATGGGTTTGGGTTGCGTACAATGATGGTCTGTCCCTTGGGCGTTTGGATCTGGAGAGACATTAGCATCTTGATAGAACGAGAACCCAAAATGTACTCACCATCTTGTCCATACCCCTGGGTCCCAACGACTATATTCCTGTTAGCCCCTCATCTACGTATCTGCAGATCGTCTGAGCAAGCATACTGTTCGAATGGCATCGGAGACAGCTATAGCATCGTTAGCATGGGCGCCACTAACATCATGAGAATATACATACCCCGAGCAGCGAGAATGTTGGAGGCCCGCACGGCCATCGGCTTCTCCTTGTCCTGCATGCAATCAGAAATCAGTAGCCCACACAGATCATTTTGAGGCTTCGCACCTTGAAGGAGTTGTTGCCGGCGGCTCCCTGTGCTACTGCGGCGGCCATTTTGAAAATCGATATTCAAAATTAACCTTAAAAAATGAGTGAAAGGAGATAGTTGAGTTGTTGTGGTGGAGGACACACAGGAAATTCTGCGAGGTTCTCTGGGGCGGTGATGAAGCTTGGCACCTGATTAGTGAGGCTAGCTCGACCACCGCAGCTCTGCTACATCACCGTCCTTTGCTCTCCCAATACCCAACCTATCTATCCTTTTTCAACTTGCCGCCGCTTTTAGATTCCGTCGAATTTGTTCCATCTTCATATACATCTTCGATTTTATTGTTTCCTTGGACCGGTCCTTAGCTCGGCCTTTGGCTGTCAACACCTTTCATCATGCCTAGCGCCACGGGTGAGAACTGGGAAAAGTTCCAGAAGAACTATGCCGACGATGAGGAGCCAGAGAAGAAGATTACACCCCTTACAGACGCGTGAGTCCTCGGCCTGTGTCGATTCAATCCACACAAAGCGCGATGACAATGATTGACAGAAGCCCATCACAGTGACATTGCAGTACTCAAGACTTATGGCGCCGCACCTTATGCGAATGCGCTGAAGAAGCTCGAGAAGGATATCAAGGACAAACAGAACAGCGTCAATGAGAAGATCGGCGTTAAGGTGATAACTTGTCCAGCTCTTTCGGCCCCTTGAACAACTGGAGCTTACGTCCTACCAGGAATCCGACACCGGTCTTGCACCTCCACACCTTTGGGATGTTGCCGCCGATCGACAACGCATGGCAGAGGAGCAGCCGCTACAGGTCGCGAGGTGCACAAAGATTATCCAGGATGAGAAGGACTCAGACAAGAGCAAATATGTGATCAACGTCAAGCAAATTGCCAAGTTCGTTGTCAACCTCGGAGAGCGCGTTAGCCCGACAGATATCGAGGAAGGCATGAGAGTTGGGTAAGTTATCTAGTGGATTATGTGTCATTTTTAGGTACTGACTAGGCTTCGCAGCGTCGACCGTAATAAGTACCAGATCATGCTGCCCTTGCCGCCAAAGATCGACCCCAGCGTGACAATGATGACTGTCGAAGATAAGCCCGATGTGACCTACGGCGATGTTGGCGGATCCAAAGAACAGATCGAGAAGCTACGAGAAGTCGTTGAGATGCCCTTGCTATCGCCAGAACGTTTCGTGAACCTCGGTATCGACCCACCTAAGGGTGCTCTGCTCTATGGACCCCCGGGAACTGGAAAGACCCTTTGCGCCCGTGCAGTCGCCAACCGAACGGATGCTACCTTCATTCGTGTCATTGGGAGTGAACTCGTGCAGAAGTACGTTGGTGAGGGTGCTCGGATGGTCCGTGAACTTTTCGAGATGGCCCGTACCAAGAAGGCATGCATCATTTTCTTCGACGAAATCGATGCCGTTGGTGGTGCCCGTTTTGACGATGGTGCTGGTGGAGACAACGAGGTGCAGCGAACCATGCTGGAACTGATCACACAGCTGGATGGATTCGACTCTCGTGGTAACATCAAGGTCATGTTCGCTACCAACCGTCCATCCACACTTGACCCAGCCCTCATGCGTCCCGGTCGTATCGATCGTAAAATCGAATTCTCGCTGCCTGACGTTGACGGCCGTGCCAACATTCTCCGAATCCATGCCAAGAGCATGTCCGTTGAGCGAGACATCCGTTGGGAGTTGATCTCGCGATTGTGCCCCAATGCTACAGGTGCCGAACTTCGCAGTGTTGCGACTGAGGCGGGTATGTTTGCTATTCGGGCTCGCCGCAAGGTGGCCACCGAGAAGGACTTCTTGGCCTCTGTTGAGAAGGTGATTAAGGGCAACCTCAAGTTCAACTCGACGGCGACATATATGCAGTACAACTAGAGTTTTCGACTTACTTGCATGATGGATGGGTGTACGATCACTGTTGTCTTGTTACGTGGGAGTTTCTTCCTGGTCAATTCGATATAATTTCAACCAAATTCCCTCTGACTACTAGTGTAGAACGATGTTGTCCCTGTACTTTCCTGATTGGTGAGGACAGGACACAGATGGTCACGTGGAGCCACCTGACCATCTCGATCTAGATGTACACTGCCGCTGTAGTGTGTGATATCTAGCAATTGTAATCTTTCTACTAGGAAAAGCGGGACTAGAATCAGAAAGGATAGCCCGATATAGCTTCAAGACCCCATAATTGTTCTTAGCGGCTCTCTTCCCTCTCCTTAACGCTCTACCGTATCCTTCCGGTAGCCTGTGCTGGCCGGCAAAACGAATCATGGACACGTGCCATCTGACCAATCACGGACGGCCGGCTGCCCGAGGTTGATTTTCATTGAGCAGCAGCTGATTGGCTGGTTCGGCCCGGTCCTCCCCGTCGGCAACTGCGAGCATGATTATGTCAGCGTGAAACCGCCAACCGTAACCCGATTCCAGATGGAAGTGTTGCCCTGGAAGGAGTTCGCTATTCCACAATCTCCCCTCTTTGCTAAGCCCGTCACCGACCCTCGGTGTTCTGTGATTATTTTGGTTCATTAGGGAAACTCAATTCTCTTTTGATCCGCCATCATGAGCTCCATGAGCCTGCGGAGCCTAGCTCCTGCATCCAAGGTGAGCAACCATGCAACGATTTTCGGCCCATTCGCAACGCCCGTGACATACTCACTCGCCCATTTCTCTAGGTTTCCCGTGTTTTGCGGGACCAGAGACGTCTTTTCTCTTCTTCAAGGCCTGCAGGTACGCATTGGACTACTCGAATTCCCAACCCACGAACGCACCACTAACCACTACTGCGCCAGCCCGGATATGGTCCAACCAGCCTTTGCGCGCTAAGGAGTCCAATGGCTACCTGACCGACAAGTACCCTATCATTGTAAGACAATACCACTCTCCGGATGGACAGGAGGTTAATTGTGTCTAACTTGCGCAGGATCACGAGTACGATGCCCTCGTTGTCGGTGCCGGTGGTGCCGGTCTGCGCGCTGCTTTCGGTCTGGCCGAGGCTGGATTCAAGACTGCTTGTGTTTCCAAGCTGTTCCCCACAAGAAGTCACACTGTCGCTGCCCAGGGTGGTATCAACGCTGCCCTTGGAAAGTAGGTTTCCACCAGCACTGAAAGTTAGCGAATCGAGTCTAACTGAATTTTAGCATGCACGAGGATGACTGGAGATGGCACATGTACGATACCGTGAAGGGTTCTGATTGGCTTGGTGACCAAGATGCCATTCACTACATGACCCGCGAGGCTCCGGCCAGTGTTCGCGAGCTTGAGGGTTACGGTTGCCCCTTCTCGCGTACCGAGGATGGACGTATTTACCAGCGTGCTTTCGGTGGTCAGTCCAAGGATTACGGCAAGGGTGGTCAGGCTTACCGCTGCGCCGCCGCCGCCGACCGTACTGGTCACGCTCTTCTGCACACTCTCTACGGACAGTCACTCCGCCACAACACCAACTACTTCATCGAATACTTCGCCCTCGACCTGCTGATGGAGGGTGGTGAGTGCCGTGGTGTCATTGCCTACAACCAGGAGGATGGTACTCTGCACCGCTTCAAGGCCCACCACACTGTTCTTGCCACTGGTGGTTACGGACGTGCCTACTTCTCCTGTACCTCCGCCCACACTTGCACTGGTGACGGTATGGCTATGGTTGCTCGTGCTGGTCTCCCTAACCAGGATCTTGAATTCGTCCAGTTCCACCCTACTGGTATCTACGGTGCCGGCTGCCTGATTACCGAGGGCTCTCGTGGTGAGGGTGGTTACCTGCTTAACTCCGAGGGTGAGCGTTTCATGGAGCGTTACGCTCCTACCGCCAAGGATCTTGCCTCGCGTGACGTTGTTTCCCGCTCCATGACTCTGGAGATCCGTGAGGGCCGTGGTGTTGGTCCTGAGAAGGATCACATCTACCTCCAGCTTAGCCACTTGCCCGCTGAGCTCCTGCACGAGCGTCTGCCCGGTATCTCCGAGACTGCCTCGATTTTCTCCGGTGTTGATGTCACCAAGCAGCCCATCCCTGTCCTGCCCACCGTCCACTACAACATGGGTGGTATCCCCACCAAGTACACTGGTGAGGTTCTGGATGTGGATGAGAACGGCCAGGAGAAGGTTGTTCCCGGTCTGTACGCCTGCGGTGAGGCCGCATGTGTGTCTGTCCACGGTGCTAACCGCCTGGGTGCCAACTCCCTGCTTGATTTGATTGTCTTCGGCCGTGCTGTGTCTCACCGTGTCCGTGACATTGCCACCCCTGGCAAGCCCCACAAGGAGCTTTCTTCCGATGCTGGTGCTCAGTCCATCAAGGACCTCGACTTCGCTCGTACCGCCGATGGCCCTAAGTCGACTTTCGAAATCCGCAACGCTATGCAGAGGACTATGCAGACCGATGTCAGCGTCTTCCGTACCCAGGAGAGCTTGGACGAGGGTGTCGAGAAGGTCAACAAGGTTGATCAGCTGTACTCCCAGGTCGGCACCAAGGACCGCAGCATGATCTGGAACTCCGACTTGGTGGAGACCCTTGAGCTCCGCAACCTGCTGACTTGCGCGTAAGTAACCCCGAGTAAACTGACTTAAGATTACTTGCTAACATACATTTCACAGTACCCAAACCGCTGCTTCCGCTGCCGCTCGTAAGGAGTCTCGTGGTGCCCACGCCCGCGAGGACTACCCCGACCGTGACGACGAGAAGTGGATGAAGCACACTCTTTCCTGGCAGAAGAAGCCCCACGGCGAGGTCAAGCTGGGCTACCGTGCCGTTGAGGCTAACACATTGGATGCTGAGGAGTGCAAGCCCGTCCCTCCTTTCAAGCGTACCTACTAAGCTCGCTATTTTGGAATCGACCCGCAGAGAATACGGAGGATACCACGGAGTTGTTTCAGATGGACCCTATGGACGCCCTCTCCCAGCCTCGTGGTTTTGAGGTGGAACTAGGGTTTGTGGCGTCACAAGGCCCGGTTTCAAGGGGAACCATCTATGAAAAAGACCTTTTTTTTTGTTGACTGTGTTACTTACATCCTGTATAGCCATATTTTTTTCCTTTATCTTAACAGGCGAAGAGTTGGTGTGCTGAGTGCTTTTCTCAGTTTGTCTCATATCATTGGATTTCTTACTTCTTAATGTTTTTTTGTGCCCCATGATAAGTCCTTATATTGTAGTTTTTGGTTTTTCTTCTTGTCCCATATCGAAAATTCCTTTCTTTGTCTGATTTGGTCAAAACCTTGGATTCCCCGGGGTTTGACCCCCTGGCCTGTCAACAAAGAAACCAACCACTAACCTCTTCGAGTCTCATTTCGAGCCTTGAGTTACGACTTATTTGTTGCTAACTGGTCAGATTCTGCGATCATTTATCACTGGGTCGTCCATACAAACCAACTATGTCTTGTAATAGAGCCGAGTCTACTCACACGAGCTAAAAGAAACTAACCCTGCGCAGGTGAAGCCTGTTGGTGACAGAAACACCAGGATCTATAATTGGCATGTCATTGCCACCCCCGCAGCAGCAACAAAGGAACCCCTTCTTAGTTTCTTTCAGGGATTTCCATTCGAAGGTTAATGAACGCATCTTGCAAGAATATCTGTCAGGCATGGCCCATTCGACTTCTGTTGTCATTCCTGCTGGCAGGTCGTCAGTCGTTGAAAGGACGACATCTCTCGCTTCTAGTCGTTCAAGCGTGTGTTATCCAGCATAACTGCTGTATATTGGGATTTGATCGAGTTGTCTCCGGATTCGTTGAGACTTGATTTTTGAGGTGTCCGAAATGGGGTCTCTCGGGTCCTTCGGGTCTCTTGTCCCTCGAGAGCTTAATACTTGCACTGGAACCAATCAATGGTATGTCTGCACGGCAGGCAACTTTCGTGGGTGCTGCTCAAGTGATCCTTGTACGACGGGGATTTGTCCGGACGATGGCGATGACACACTCTCGTTGACTACGGCTGGGGTCATTCGTTTGTTGCCAAGCGTGACGCCGAGGACCACCACCGCTTCATCTATGTCCACTTTATCGGAGTCAACTACCTTGTCACCGGATGCGTCTTCGACAGCCTCCATTACTTCAACAACATTAGCAGGTTCGGATACACCCACAGCCTCAGAGACACCCCCAGTTTCGGAGCTACTCACATCCCCAGTGGCACTCATGATTTCACAAGTTTCTACAAGTTCTGACGTATCCACAACTACAGAACCTACGGGTGTTACTGCGTTGTCCTCGGTTCTGGCCGCTAGCACATCTCCGTCCAGCACCCCATCCAACATGCCAAGTGCTGCATCCTCAAACAAGGGTGCAATCATCGGCGGCGTTGTTGGAGGTGTTGCAGTCTTGGTCATATGTGCCATCCTGCTCTTCTTTTGCTGTCGCCGCAAGAGAAAATATGGAAAACGAGAGAAGGGGCCAACTCCTGCCTCATGGTACAAACACGGATTTACGCGGAAAGATCGAGCAACTGCATCCGAAATGAAGGGGCCTCTATCGCCATCAGACAGCGAAGCAAATAGTGAGCAGACACATGCCCCATACCTAACTGGCCACCGAGGCAACATAACATTTTACTGATACCAGACATCGCATTGGCAATAGACTCATCGAGCGCTGGCTCCCCGTTCACCACGGATACCACACGGGGAAACATAATCCTCACCCCAGACCTAGCATTGGGATCATCGGCAACAAGCCTTATCTCACACTCTCCCCACAAAACACTCCCAGTCCTGCCAGCCCAACCGCAGTCAAACGAACTCTTCGCTTCAGTTCCTCCCCGCCAAGGATTTACCCCAGAGCTACCAGACACAGGCTTCCATCGCCTGCGCGCCGAACTAGCCTCCCACTCCCAAAGCGAGCTGATCAACGTACCCATAGAGCAACGCCAGCGACAGCAGAATCACATCAGGTCAAGGACTGGTCCCTGGGCTTGGGAATCGCCTTCCTTGGCATCTATACCTAGTTCGCGTGCAAGCCCGGCAAGAGGAAACAACAGCAGCGGCCACAGCCACAGCAATAGCAACGGCGGTAGTCCGGGGAGAAACCATGGTGGACGGGTCGTCACTGCCGACGGAGTTGTCCTAGGTGCGAATCTGGATCGATATTCTAATGGCATGGCGATTGGAGAGTCCCTAGCCGAGGGGGAAAGGGGTAGGACGACTAAGCGTGGTGAGACAGATCATGTTATGAGTTTTATGCAGTATGGCGGGAGGCTGGAGGATCGGGGCTTAAGGAACGGGCTTGGAATTGCAAGTGGTCATACTTCCAACCCCCGGGTGCGTGAGGATAGTGTGTCCAGGTCGAGGCCTAGACCTGCGCAGCGCAGTTTGGAAGATGAGATTGCGGCTGCGGAGGGTGATGTCGATGTTCCGCCTGCTTATGAGGCGGAAGAGGTCGTTCCTGGGCATGACATTAAGTCTCCGTCTGGGAGGATGGGTATGAGCCCGAGAGGAGGGGTTTGAACAATTGGTTTTGCTTTTGCTTTTAATTTTGATTTCTGGAGGTAATGCTGGGCCATTGCTATCAATGTTAGGGCTGGGGTCCGATGAGATTTGAACGTCGGTCCGATAGGTATGTTGTATGATATGCCCCCCTTTATTAGCAACACATAATTTGACACTTCTTTTCTTGGAAGATACCTAAACAAGTCAATTCATATATTCATTTTTGTCTAACCGAAAGCCTAAAATTTGTTTTCTGTCATATATCGTATCCAAAAGATTTTACAGTAAATTCTTCAGCACGGCAGTCTGCTCGAGGACTGCGCGCTTGCTAGTACCGCCAATGGCATCCTTCAGCTCGACAGCACGCTCGTAATCAAGGCAAGCCTGGACATCAGCGTCGAAGCGGGCGTCGACTTCCTGGAGCTGCTTCAGAGAGAGCGTGTCCATGGGGACGTTGGTGTTCTCGGCCAGAGCAACGACACGGCCGGAGATGTGGTGTCCCTCACGGAAAGGAACGCCCTTGCGGACAAGGTAGTCGGCAATTTCGGTAGCCAGCATCTCGGGGGCCAGGGCGGCGATCATCTTCTCGGGGATGACGGTGAGAGTAGAGAGCACACCGGTTGCAATCTGGATACTGTCGCTGACAGTCTTGACGTGGTCGAGCATGGGCTCAACACTCTCCTGCAGGTCCTTGTTGTAGGTAGTGGGCAGGCCCTTGATTGTGCACATCAGGCCGGCCATCTGACCGAAGGCACGGCCAGCCTTGCCACGGAGCAGCTCCAGGCTGTCTAAATTGTGGAACTCGTATTAGTATGCTGCTTCATATTACACAAACGGGATACAAATTTACCTGCGTTCTTCTTCTGGGGCATGAGCGATGATCCAGTCGAGTAGGCATCTGACAGACGGACAAAGCCGAACTCCAGACTGCTGTAGATGATCAGATCCTCGGCCCAGCGGGAGATCTTGAGCATGAACGAGCTGCCCCACTGCATGGTCTCCATAGCGAAATCGCGGTCCGCGACAGCGTTCATGGAGTTGTACAGCAAGCCATCGAAGCCAAGCTCCTTGGCCATAGCCTCACGATCAATGTTAAAGCAGTTACCGGCAAGGGCACCGGTGCCGAGGGGGGCTCTTGTTGACGCGACGGATAACCTCACGCAGACGCTCCAGCTCGCTAGCGAAGGCAGTGGCATGCGACAGGATCCAGTGTGACCAGCGGACGGGCTGGGCCTTCTGCAAGTGGGTGTAGCCGGGCATGAGATAGGCGATATCGTTCTCGGCGCGGGCAATGGAGACCTTAATCAGATCGGAGAGGTGGCTCTCGATCAAACGGAGCTCATCGCGGAGCCACAGGCGCATATCCGTGGCGATCTGCTCGTTACGCGAGCGACCGGTGTGCAGCTTGCCGCCGATTTCCTTGCCGATGATCTCGCCTAGACGGCGCTCGTTCGCGGTGTGGATGTCCTCGTCGTTCTCCTTGGCCACGAAAGTGTTTGTTTGCCATTCCTGGGCGATCTGCTTGAAACCACGCTCGATCTCGGCGAACTCTTGCGGTGTGAGGATACCGGACTTGGTGTTGGCGCGGGCGAAGGCAATTGAGCCGGCAATATCCTGCTTCCAGAATACACGGTCGTAGGGGAGCGACATGTTGTACTGCACCATGAGGGGGTCAAGGCCCTCTATTTTTCGCATGAGTCAATGGGTTCTTTTGGTGGGATGGAGGGGTTGTGGTACTCACGGGTGAAGCGGCCTCCCCAGAGCATGTTCTCAGCGACGCCTTTAGGATTACTCATTTTGAAAGGTAAATTGGTCTATGGCTTGGAAATGAAAGAAAACAGAGAAGTTGGAAGTGAAGTTCCCCCTGCTCGTGGAATGACAATTATACGCTAAACTCAATTGGGGAATATCTGGGGACATACTATGAGTCAACTTTTTGACATTTCCCACTCCCGGGGCCAATTTCTTATGACATTCAACCAAAATAAAAAATAAATGTTTTTGTCCCATGAATCCTGAACAGTATGCTGTATGTATATATGTATATATATATATATATATTTACACTCTCTCGGATATTGCATTCGTGTTTTGTTCTTTGTTCACGGTGCAAATATCAGATGAATACGCTGCATTGGTAAAGCATCTATTCGGAGATTCTCTAAAGGGAACTTGAGCTCACGACCGTCGACTGACTTTGAAGAAAATATCATCACGGCCGTATATGGCTTTCAATGAGTCCGGTTATTCCATGTCCATCGTCAGGATATTCGCTTAGGGCTTTCAAACCCGCATGGACTCTACAAAATATTAGAGTCAATCTATATATAGACAGATTTCAGAGAATTGAAACGTCATCATACTCATTGTCACCTACTGTGAAATGCATCGGATATCTCAGCAACAACCGTAAAGATACTTAAGGATAGTCACGTAAGCCCATTTCCCATCATATATCCTTCGATATATATATCACAGACGAAACCAGGAAGACTTCGGGAAGGGAACCTCTAATCAAGCAGCTCAATGACAGTCCAGGTAACAGTTGTCAAAAGCTGACCCCCAATCTTTTCCATGACCCTCCGACTAGCATTATTATACCCAGCCACCTCAGCATGCGCCCAAGTCCCAACACGCTCTCGAGTCTGACTATCCTCAGAGTTGACACTTCCAGCCCCAAAAACACCATCTACCGACATGCCACGACGCATAATAGCCTTAGACAATGGAACTGCAAGCCCACGACCACGATGCTCCGGCTCAACATGCAACGTCGCCAGCGCTCCATCCATACCCAAGAATCCCCAAGCAATAGGCATTTCGTCAGCATCGCTGGACCCAGAATCAGAATAAACTGCCACACCGGGCATTGTAGATAGCTTCGCCCTTGGCCTGGGGATATGTGTCCGACTCTGCACAAGATCCAGATGCTTACTCAGAACACCCTCCCTCCCCTCTCGGTCATGGAACCTATATCCGGCTGGGAGAGAGAGATCGGCGAACGGCAGATCTGCAGATCTTCCAGACTCTTCGTCGGGGCTGAAGTCAGATCTCCGAAAGAAATACTTGTAATAAGGGGGATCGTCGAAGCGATGGACCCGGATATTGGGTATTGGGTCAGATTGAGTGTAAGAGCCAGATCGCTGCAGGAGCGAGAATAGACCTGTATGAAGGCTGCCGATGAGGAAGGCCTGTGGATCCGGCTCGGGGATTAGGGGAACACTACTAGTATTATTGGGGTTGGTGTTGTTTGTGGTCCCCGAGGACATCGACACGGAAGTATTTTCAGCTTCTGCGGATGTGGCTTGCGCTGTCTTCGCCAAGTATGACAGGTAGGGTGGTAGTAGATTGATCTTGACATATGACAGCAAGGCCAATAACTGCGAGCGGGCCAGGGCTAAGACGGATGGGCTGGCGGAAAAGGTGGAAACAATGGGCTTGCTGATGTTGACAGGGTTGTCATCCTTATTATCATTGGTATTGTTTCTGATATTATTGGATCGTGTTGAGTCCACATTTAATATCTCCGGTGCAGTGGTCTTGGTATCGCTGACAGTGACGATCGGAATTGACGTGTGCTCCGCTTCGAGGCTGGAGTAGATGAGCATCTGTGTTGTGCGGCCGCCAAAGAGATCCACCCGCGCAGCCAGCCACGGCTGTCCAGGCTCAGGGGTTGAGCCGGGCGGGAAGGTCGCTAGTATGTGAGCGGTCTCATACGGATAAGCGATCCCGTGTTGAATTCGGCGCAGAACAGTCGTGGAATACGGCAGTTCAGAGATGAGTGCCGGTATTATCGTTGCTGCATCGTGCTCGTAGATGCATATGGCCATTTCCGATGGATGTGCCAAGTTCCCGAGTACCTGGATTCAGGGGTGTGGATTTCCGTGTTGATCAGGGGGATCGCAAATCGCAAACTTGCAGAGACTATTGATCTTCAATTTGACAAAGTGACAGGTTGACGTGACGGGTGAGTAAGAGACTTGTGGATCCCTCCAGGGCTACTCCGTTCAACACGGCTAAGTTGTGCCTACGGAGTACTCCGTAAGTGTTATATGACAGAATATTTGATTCAGAAATCACAGACCTCAGGACTCCGTCGGAGTACGAATACGATTATTAATATCGAATCTCTATCTAGGTAAATTAAGTATTTGTCACGTCTGTGCCTGTGGCGGTGCGACACTATTGATTCGTCCGGACTGTCAACCCTGCATGGACATCCCCACTGAAAAGGTGCTAAAAGGTGCTAAAAGAATCAAATTTCTCTTGAAGTTTATTTTTTGACGTGCCTATGATGATCTTGCATTGCGACTGGGGAAAATAGTTCCTATGTACTCTGTATGGCACAGATGAAAAAGAAGACCGCCTTTGTCATTATACTCCACTGCCCAGGTGTGATATGGGTCCCATCACAAGCACTAGCTAATTTTTTGAGGGGAACGAGAAACATAAGAAAATAAACAAAAAGAAAAAAGAAAATTCGTGCCTCATCATCACAGCATCCTACCAGGGACTGCGTGCTCCGACCATCCAATCCTCCATTGCCAGCCATTCACTCCACCGCGCCTCGGCCACTCGAATCTCATCCTCCGAGGGGTCACGTAGAGGCCTCAAAAAGGGAGTCTCTTCATCTGGAGAAATATCGTAGGCAGCCTTGGTAGATGCCCACCCGCTGCTCTTGGCGGTAAACAGATAGTTCACCCGTTCTTGTTTGTAGATACAACCCACGCCAGCCTCCCAGTCACCCCCGAAGAAGCCTTGCATAACAGTCGGTGAGTCTTGCGCTGTGACAATCAACCGCCTAATATACGGCCGCAGCGAAACAAATGACGACGATGTGGATCCAGGTACTGGAGCGCTAGACTCAGAAGGTCGCTGGCAGGGTAGTCGAATATTGATGAACGCGGCAATGGACTGCACTTGGGGAGTGTGCTGGCTATAGTCGACAAAGTGTTGAAGACAATTCTTATAGTGTGGGAACCAGCCTGTGGGGTCCACGCGACCAAACTCGGCGTCGTTCATCACCGATTGGGCTTCTGGGTTGGTCATTCCCTCTGCATTTGAGCGATCGCGCCTATCGAAGATGCTTTCAGCGTCTCGTTCGATGGATCCTGGAAAAAAGGGCAAACGGTCTCAGAATATGGGGTCATTGCGCAAGTGCGATAGATAGGACCGGGGGAGGGGGAGGGGAGGGAAGAAACAAACTCACTTTGAGCGGGTTGTTCGCGAGAATAAGGATCGCGCATATCCATTCGCTGGGAGTTTTCCCAGCACTCTCTTCCAGAACCCTGCATGCTCAGTGACATGTTCGACAGTCGACATGTGTTGTTGATAGGTATGTGTGTAAAGGAAGAAGATCTCAAACTGGGGGTGGGTTTAGACTTGAGTTGGAATAGTCTGTGATTCTGGGGGAGGCCAATGCCTTATAGCTCCGCGACCAAGCGCGGACGGGGAAGACCGAGCCATCAAGGGTTCCAAAAATCGATAAGTTGTGAAGATCAAGGGCGGACTAGTTCGGGTTCCGGAGGTGAAATCAGGGTGGGGTGCATATGGGAAGCTATCGAAGAAAATCGAGCTTGAGCCACAGATATTGTCACTAGCCACTCACTAGCCACCCTGAGCCACGGTTCACTCCACTGAGCCACGGTTCGAGCCACACAGTGAGCCACAATTAGCCACGGTGAGACCGAAATGTGGCTTGTGCACTTTTCCTCAAATAGCAAGGGGTGTGTGGCTGTGTCCTGACCCGACAATGGAATTGTCCACTAGTCTCTATCAGGCAGTCCCAATGGTCGATCTAGTCTCTTACGGTGTAGTCTATCAATAGTTCAATACATTTGTGGCTAGTCTCTCGCACTATCTCTTGCCCTAGATCACCCTGAAATGATTTGGAAGCCCTATGACTAGTGGAAGATCAGTAATCTCAATCTTTTCCATGCATTTTAGTGTTTAGTGTTTACTCTTTTAATACACTCGCTTAGGGGCAGTCTCTTGTCGTGACCTGTGCGACATGGATGACACTTCAAGGCCCACTTCTCCCCCAAAATAATTAAACATCGTGGTAATTCTTGGCGCGAAGACAAAGGATCCCGGATCTGTTCGGTGGAATCTCATATCACATTTCGGGATCTGCGAGTAGTTCTGTTCCTTCCCCCCTGTACCACATGTTCTTCCAAGCAAAAATAAGAATAAAACAAAAACGTGGATAGAAGGAAAAAGAAAACATGCAAGGGGTGGAAAGTAGAACGAGATGACATGGTTCGTGGTATCTGCAGGGATGATCCAACTTCAACCTGCATCCTCGTATCGACAGACTTTCCCATATCGGGGACTCCGACAGATCGGCCCTGACGCTCGGACATCCCCATCTCATCCAATGACGACGATCTATTTACGTTCATCGAGTGCCTGAACACCCGATTTCCTGGGTGGAACAAATCCAATCTATGAAAAAAAAAAATCGAACTAGGCTACTAGATGCAGATCTGCTTGACGTCTAATCTCCCCCGCTTCCAAATTACTGCGGCTGAAGCCTTCCAAGTCTTCATTTAAATGCAGACCGATTCACTTCTGGTCAGACCTGCATCTCAACAAGCTCAGCAGATTTGACTACTTTCAAGTTCTCGATCTAATCGTCATCCTGCATTTCAAACTTTATGCGAACAAGAACACCATTACAACACTTCAACACCGCAACATCTCAACACCCACCACCCACCATGAGTTACAAAACCAACTATGAACTCTACGTGAGTAACATCCATGCTTTACTTTTTGCCAGCCAATCTAACTTGTCTTTTTCTAGTCTCGAGGAAGCATCGACAGCAGACGGTCACCGCCCCCGCCAGATGAGCTTCTCTCACCATTAGCAACACTGTACCCGCATGTCGCGGCCTTGCAGCCACAGTACAATCCCAGCAACTGCACCTTCACCGGTTACCGCGACACGGGATATTGGGCTGCGGCCTATACGACACAGCCTATTGATGATTCCTCGTCTATGCGTCGCATCAATGGTAAGTTTAATCATTCTTTCTTATCCGTTCGCTTTAGTTCTAACATTGCCCTAGATGGTCGACCATGTCGATTTGTTTCTAGACTACGCCGACTCCTCAGCCGAGACGACTTAAGATATCGTCGAGGATCTCGGGCAACTGCACGAACTGCATGAACTGCGTCTCTCTCTTTCATCCTCCTTCTCCTTCGTGATTTACTTGAACATACAAGCGACCAGCGGTTCACTTCTCAACATCTTATTGTCCTCTTATATGAGGTTATTCTTTCTCGACCTTCAGCACCAAGGCCCTAGCAGGCTCGACTTCGCATCTTTTTTTCTTTTGTTTGATCTCGATTCTCAGTCTTACAAGCGTATCTTTTTTTTCCCTCTGGACTTTTGGGCAAGCGACATTACAGCGAGGAGTTTTTCAGCACATATTGGCAAGCATAAATTGGGGGCTACATGTTTTCTATTCTTGTTACTTTATTTGGCAGCATATATTTCGTCTCAATGTATATAAAGGCAGGTTTGCCTACAGATATCAAACAAAGGACCAACGACAGTCCATCTTTTACCAAGAATATCCACTTCTTACTCCCTTTGAGAAAATCCCTAAGTTGTACGGAGTACTTCAAACAATTCTAAATAATATCGGCTAGTGTTGTTTTGTTGATAACGCACGTTTTTGCAAGTCCGCACCCATTCTCCACCATCAGGCAATTACCAGGTAATCGGGGCCCAGTGTCCCATCCAAGGTTGCCCATTTGCCCATGTCCCTTGCCCACATGTGCAGGGGAAAAAGCCACATGCCTTGGAAGCAAGGCATATCAGAATCAATGACATCATGACTATGATGTTTGCTTTTTCTAGAACCATGGGTAGCCTCATGGCTTTATCCCAATCCCACGGTAGCACCCGTGACCCCTGCGATCCCGGGAGAAAGGAACAGGATCAATACACAGGTACTCCGTAGGATGTCCAGGATCGAGGACACCGCCACATCAAATCCCGATCACTTGCGTCAGGTCCCATTCGCCGATCATCTCAACATACATTATCTCAGCAATGATCGGCGAGCTCCACGCGCCTATGGAGTTCTAGCCACCGCAATTATAATTACCTGGTGTCTTGGAACACAGCCAGAGGTTTATTGTTAATTATATTCGCATAAATGGCAAAGCATTCGCACGTATGGGAAGATACTTAATTCCAACATTGCAATGGTTTAACGTTTGAGCACAAGATGCTTTGTTCCTGCAGAAGCATATGACACAAGGTTTCAGGGGTGACACAACCTATGCACGTACTCACGGGATTTGAACCTTGTTTACTCCGTACTATCTACTCCGTAGGTATCTACAGAGTCCACTGCCAGGTTGGGATATTCCCATGACCGAGCGTTTTAAGTCTGAGGGCCGACCCGTGACGATCATGTGGTTGCCCTGTGCTCCCGCAGGAACGGTATTTGGAATATACATCTAAAGACTGCGCTTGGGGCGGTTTTAGGTAACGTGGTCTTCGGATTTGCGGGGGTTTGGATGCAACGTTGTGCATTTGGTAGCTTTCTTCCATGTTTACTTTTTGCTTGTTCCTGGCTATATTGACGCCAGGGGATATGGAAGGATCATTGCGCTGCGTCAGGGTGAGAGTAAATATAGCTGGCAGTATATGCTTTTTGCTTGAAGGAATTGAATGAGAAATATGCTAGGATAAAGGCCATAGAAGCTACGGATTATTGAAGTTCATAGAGAAGGGTTTCATATTGGCAGTCCTCGGTATATAGCAAGGAGAAGATACTCCGTGATCATCACTATCCTCAGTCGAGCCTGCAATATGCGGGTTTCGATGCAGGGGGTGATGAAGTATTATTCGTCGATCATCTTCCGATGAGGGCCACGAGATGAGAGTATCGGCCATCTTCAATAATCAAATAAAATAACAATGTTTTACCTACGGAGTACGGAGTAGTGTAGATCCAGTTCATTGATGACGTCGACCAAATATTGGTTTTGCTGCCAAGCTTATATGTTTGCACTGCACGATCCCGACGCCACATTTCCTTCAACTAAGTACTATCAAGTCTAATAGGAGAGTCTTTCGGCTAAATATAGAAGGACTAGAAAATTTAAACAATAGGAAGTAGCAACCGCAGTAAGTGACTCGGATACCTGCGTAGTCATAAATGTTTGCAACTATATATAACCTTGGGAGGTACTGGATCAATTATACCCTCTTTTTACAACCCCCTATTTAGATGGTTTCAGGAAGAACTCATGGGATGCATCATGTCTAACATGGCACGAGGCAATCTACCACCAGGTGGTCGGCATATGCGAAAGAAATTGAAGAATCCAACCTAGGTAGACCGACACCCAATTACCGATCAACGCATCCGCGCTAGAACTCTAACGTTTGTCGCCCCACCGCTCTCCCCGCGAATACTTCCCCGGACATTGACACTCCCCGGACTTCGTCCAAAATAAATCTCTGTCGAAAAATGTCGAAACATTCTTTGACAGGAAGCCCCGAGACATCAGAATCCTCTAAATACGAGTGCTCATTATGCCCCAAGCGATATAAGCGACGCGAACACCTGTTTCGCCATATCAGCTCCCATACATCACAACGGCCATACCAATGTCACTCATGTGACGGGGCTTTCCAACGTGCCGATGTTCTCAAACGACATCTACGAACCTGTGATGGTGGCGCATCCAGAGCAAGTACTCGAAGACGGGCTTGCGATCGTTGCGTCCGTCAGAAGAAGGCATGTAGCTCGCATCAACCATGTCACAGCTGCGCCAAAAAAGGTGCCCACTGTTGGTATGCCACAGATACATGGCCTTCACCACGGCCAAGCCAGCATAGCTCCGCCAAGGATATCTCGAAAGACCAAGATATGAATGCTCAATTTACGGACCCACCGCCACCGCCCTCGGCGTCTAATACAATGATGCCGTGGGGCTTCACTCTGGAGGACTTGCAAAACTTTGGCACAAGTCCGATCGATACCTTCCTTGATCCGGCTTCTATGCAATGTGCAAGTCCAATTTGGCCTAATATTTCGGCTTTGGCTCCCGAGAGCCCGGCAACTTTTGAACCAGTTTCTAGTGACAACCGCGGGAAATCGCTGCACTTTCTCGACAAATTTACTAGCAACACAGGTCTAGTGTCGAGCTTTGATTGTGGCACTCAAGAGCAAAGAGAACAAGTTGCTGCCAGCTTGGACCAGCAAATCCTGTCACAGCTACAGCAGAGAATAATGTCAATGCCGGCCTTGAGCATGGATGTTCCATCTCTGGTACTGGAAAATAATAGTGATACAAGTTCAACTAGCGACTTATCACTGGATTGGTTCAATGATCCACTTTCCTTGAAGACGCACGAGATCCTTCTCTTGATCGAAGAAGTGGTCACGATCAAACCGCGCAACAGTTCTGTCACCTTGGACTGGTCATCAGCACTCAGGGATGCGTGTCTGCAATTCTTTTCCCCTTCGAACATAAGACGATTTCTAGGATTCTACTGGGCAATATGGCATCCTAATGTGAACTTTGTGCACCGACCTACCTTCGACATGCTGGCAGCGAAGCCAACAGTCCTAGCTGCAATGGCTCTAATTGGTGAGTCTGTCTCCTATTATGGGGGTTGTAAATGCTAATCATTGGAAGGTGCCTGCGTATCACCTGATATGCCTGACAATGAAGATGCACGCACCTGGTTCAACTGTGTAGAAGAAATGGTTTTCATTGACGACGATTTCAACAGTGATTTGACCTACCAATATTCTGGAGACATGGCCATCCAAAGACGCAAAATTCAGGCTGTACAGGCTGCCTACATAGTCTGCCTCTATCAGAATTGGGAGGGCACGGATGCGAGCAAGAGCCGCATTCGACGTTATCGTTTCGCTACTTTGGTATCTGTAAGTGTATCTTCCAGTCTGTACCTCATTAGTGTATTAATCATAAAAGACCGCTCGTGATATTGGTATCACGGCTGCGAGACATTTGAATTACAGCGAGCAAGGCCGCCATGAGTTCGAATGGAAAGAATATGCAGCTAGAGAGGAACTCATCCGGTGAGTCTCACTGTTGTGCTTGAAGAAATAGGCACTGATACTCTAAACCACAGTGTGTTCACTTGGATCTTTTTACTAGATTCAGCATTCGTCATTTTCAACAACCTCCCTCCGCGGATGGTCATCAAAGAAATGAGGATGCATATGGCAACGCCAGAAGCTTGCTTCCAGGCAACAACGGCAGACCAATGCCACCACCAACTCCAACTCTTCCTGCCTGCAAGAAGTCTCTACTGGACGATCTCGTTCCGGGGGTCATTCGAGTCGATATGTAAAGACGACTTATCCGGCAATATCCGCCACCTTCTCGCTACCCTAGGTCCACTGAATTTATTCGCATTAACATCAGGTAAGTCACGATCCAGGCTCCCACGGTCCAACTCTGCTAATACTCTAACCATTAGCAATCCATTCACAAATCTTCCAATTCCGCAGCGCGGTGGGCAGTTTCCAACTCCGAGCCCCGATACAAAACGCACTCAGCAACTGGCGAGATATCTGGCACTTGTTCTCGTCGACATTCCCACAAGGAATCATGCCACACATGACAATAGAAGACCCGCACATCCAACCCGAGGAACTCTGGAGACGAATGGGATTCTGCCGATATGCCCCCGAGTACTGGCTCCTAGCCCACCTGATGGCAGATCGATTGGCCGTACTTGGCACGTCCAAGACAGAGAATGAATTGGAGCCGCTTGACGAGGGCCCGCTGGACCCGATCCTGAATCGATATGATCAAACGAGTATGCGTCAGGTTAATGATCTGATTATGGGCTTTCAGACGTTCCAGATATGAAAGCCGGCTCTGCTGTACGATTAAAATGATTCACTACAAGAAATGAATGAATGTCATGCTTTGTTTTCGTATATTGCTATCTTCTCAAGTCCCGGACTATCTTGAGAACACAAATCGCTATTGCTGAAATGATGCAGATTTTGAATAAAGGCCAAAACTGTGGTAATGGGTCGTCACTGGCAAGTTATGTTAGTCGCTAGATGATTGCAACTGGATGTAAGATGTAGCGTTTACCTTTCATGGTAGGAGCCCG